CATACAGTATCAACATCCACGGCAAATGAACTCAGGTTACTTGTATCGTTAACAAGCGCTTGCCGCTGAAAGCCCACTGCCCTCTTTGTGTTATCAGTAATGCGGTTGTGTAATGTCGCATCACCCCAATCATCATCAATTCATTCAACAAAAGCCATTCTCCAAAACAGTAGTTTATTATTACTTATACTTACGTACCACTCGGCAATCACAAAGCTTACTGTACCCATTCATTGAGTCTATTACATTAAACACCAAATAGATTGTCCAACTCCGGTCAAAAATACCAATCAGCTTACGTCACTTGACCAGAGTTGCCGTATAATTCGGGCCAAGAAATTATTTATACGTATTAGTGTAACAATTTTTATGAAACTTTTTTACAATAAGTGATCAAGTTATGATTGTTTTGGGAACAGCGCATCATCAGGCATGCGTAATCCAAACACAAAAGACCATACAAACGCCCCTTTGTGTAACTTAAAATGAGTGGTACTCACACCCCTTATTTTTATTGTGCGCAACTTTTTTTTTTTTGCTTACACCTCAAACACATATAATAACCTTCATTTCTCCAATTCTAACAGTAGTTGCTTGTATTTTTTCAAAAAAAAAAAAAAAAAAAAATACAGTACAAGTACACCACACTTTTTTTTAAACAAATATCTTATACTGTGCATCGTCTTTTTTATTTAGTCCGGTTAGTATTCGGTATTTTTTTTTTTTCTACCAAACAATTTTTAATTGCGATCACTTTTTTTTTATTGAGTCAGTATGTTCATTCAATACTCACTCACCTTCAGTTCACTCACTGTCTATCAGCATTATTAAATCTTATTGTACTGATTATTTTTTCTTCTTGTCTCTTTTTATAAAATCAGTTATTATTGCGAAAAAATCTATTTTTTGGTGCGATATACAAACAACTTTTCTCTCTATCCTTCCACTCTATCTTACGTGTAGGTATCAACGGGCTTTAATATTTTTTTATATTACTACTACATTATTATTATTTATTATTATTATTATAATTAATATTATTATTTTCATATTAACTTTTTATTCTATTTAATATTAATATTACAAATATTTTTTTTATATTCCAGCTAACACTATTAATTACTACTACCACTACCACCACTACTACTATTACTCTACTACTACTACGGTACATTTCACTTTCATACTTAATATCTGATAACGACCCCCCCCCCCCTCAACAAAAAAAAAAAAAACTATTACAATACAAGTTTTTTTTATTACCGTATTCCAAAACGAAACAGAAAAAAATATATTTTCTATTCTATTCTAACGAGCTCCGAACCTTGACACGTACACGTCAACTTACTTTCATAAACAATATATCAAATAGGTCTGTTTTGGTATCCACGAGACGAACAAAGGAAAAAAAAAGCGTGCGGGATTATTCCATTACGAAACGACTCTACGAACAAAGCGAACCAAAGATTTTCTTAACGCGGTCTATTTTTTGTCGGATTACCGAATATATAGAAAGAAAAAAAAAAAATCATTATCGGCTTATAGAATTCCTTTGCACGAAAAGACGTCAACCACAAATCTAATAATAATCTTTACGATCGGTCAGTGTTTCAACGAAGAAAATGTATAACCGGTACAACCAACAGAATCAGACTACCCCGAACTCACAGAGGAACAGTTATCCTTATGGTCAAAACTTTCAGCCTACCCCTCAACAAGCCCTCCAACAAACGGGATTGTCTGCGCATGGAACCTCGTCACAGTTCAGCACATTTAATCCTTTGTCGAGTTACAGCAACTCTAGAATGAGTAATGACTTACGCGGTAACTACGGCGCGCACCTCGGCTCTCATCAGCCACAGCAACAGTCACAACAGCCAACACACATTTCGTGGCCGACGCATAAGAACAACAATTGGAGTACAGATATGGGTGCATCTGGTGGTACAAACTCTCAGGCTAATCACAGTATGTTATCAACGAGTATCTACGGAAATAGTGGTACGACCGGAAGCAATACCGGTAACTTTGCCCAGACCACAAATTCTAGCTTGTTTGGTGCTTCCACCCAACAACAACAATCATCACAAGCCACACAACGTAGGATGCAAGGTCCGGTACAGACAATGGCAAACCGAATAAGTGGCGATGCTCATGCTTATTCAAGTCATCAATCTTCAATTGGTATGTTCGTCTTCACCGATAGTTGAGCGATGATTGCGTTGGTGTTTCTGACGAATCGTTGTCATTTGTCAACGTTCCAAGGTCATTGATCATTCTTCTCTTCATGTAATTTCGAAAAAAAAAAAAAATAGGCGCTCATAATCCACAAACTTCAATAACGTCCTTGGCGGCTTTCCATACTTCTCCCACACCTGCTGCTCAAACACCACAACATGCGGCCACTCATAACAACAGCGTGCTTTCCCTTCCCACTCCAACAAATTCTTCTCAGGTTACATCTTCCATACTTCGTCAGCAACAAGTGTATCCGATGGACACAAGCAGTAACATGAGCAGCTTGGGTGGCATGAGCAATATGGCATCAATTACTGGTATGGGTTCTATTAGTAACGTGGGCTTTCAGCGGCAAGCGCTTGTTAACGATACAAGTAACCTGAGTTCATTTGCCGTGGATGTTGATACTGTATG